GTAACCCCGTTACAGACACACAATCAAAATTCTTAACATCCACAATTCACTTCAACTGTCGCCTCGTACGACGTTCGCGAGGCTACGACACCCCCCCCCAATCTGCGCGCATTCTCGACTCAATAAGCCCTATGTCTAGGACACGAAAGATACGCAGCCTCGTTGGTTCCGAGAGAGTGTGTGGTGTGCCGCTGACAGCAGTTTCAATGAAAGCACAACCTAACCCTCGGTAACAGAGCGCGACGGATCATCTCGTGGAGGATTTGAAAGAAGTCGACTATAAGTCGGGTACTCCTTTTCCGGGATAGCAAGATGAGAAGGGTGAGGCGCGTCAGCGGCGCGACGTGAGCCCTGCTCGAACCTTACACACGCCGTGTCCGTTTTCCCGGACCCTCGACTTCCGGGGAATGTGGTTCGCTACCAATCGCCTTGACGAGGCACAGAAGCAGCAGCTGGATGCTGCCACACAGGGCGGCCCTCATGCGCTCACATCCACGGTCGGTTTTAGACCATCATGTGGAATACGGCTTTCTCTCGTCAAATCCCGAAACCGAAGCGATGTGCCAATCGTTAGGCGTCTACGTAGGCGGATCCCCGGCCACTACACAAGCCGAGCTTCACCAACGAAGAGCCCTCCAAGCTCGCTTTTAATTACCTCGAGAAATCCCAATGGATAAGTTCTGCGCTCGACTTCGCGCTTAATCAGGAGGCGTTCTTATACTCAGGATACCGACGATTCCACCCACGGCAAAACCGCTGCAGATGACAAAGAGCTCTTTGAGCGATGGGCGCGGCGGCGCCGGACACATTTCTCGCTGTCTACCTTACAGCGGAACCACAAGGAGGTGGACTTGCGCGTGGATCGCCATCTTCGGTTCGATTGTGCCAAACTCAAGGCGCATCGCCGACTTTCTTTGTATTGTCACCTTGCGACGTATGGAATAATCCATCACGCTCCCGGGAGCTCTTTGGTCTCTTACACGGGTAAGTCTACGACCAAAGCAGCTCAGAGCCATAGCTTGATCTCAGCTCATGGCCCTTCGGCATCCCGGGCTACTGCCGAGAAGCGCGGGGCGTACGACGACGCGGAATGTCATGATGCATCTGATCATAAGCGTCCACGACATCTATGCTGTCTAACCGAAGTGGCACCCCAAACTTCCACAAGTTCTCGGAGTCGGGGTATCCCCGCCACTTCACAAGATATTGGGTTTGACCCTGTCGACGACGTCGACCCATGAGACGTTCCACGTGACAGTGGACACCACCGTCCTCATCGAGAGGACACGGTAGCGAACGACGACAACTTGGTCGATCGCCGTCCGGTGACTCGCGTTGCTCTTCGAGTTCTTGGGAGCAAGGACCGTTGAGATCGGGATTCATCTGAGCATCATGCTACCGCCGTGCGGAAGGCCTCGTGAGCTTAGAGCACTTTGTGTACCGACTGTTTCACGCTATAGACTATCGCATTCTGTCGGAGCGGCTCCTACTCGTCGAGCAGATGAATACAAATACGTCACTTAGAGCGACGGTGAAGCGCCTGGCACCGTTGGAAACGAAGTTTGTTGCACTCCGTGCTGAGAAACAATTGCTGGTTCAGCTCCTGGGTGATCGAGCTCCTGTGGGTGCTGCCCCGGCGTCAACGCTCCCGCATTCATTTGCGCCGGATTTCGGTACAGCTTAAGCAAGCCTACATAAACGCCGGTTGAGTGAGCATCCTTCTTAGAAGGTTGAGCGTATACGCAAGACCCCGCTTGCCCACGACCTTAAATGGTCCAATAAACCGAGGACGGAGTTTCGTCTTATAGACGCAGAAACTGCATGTGTCGGAAGATTTTTAGCATTAAATAAATTGGGTCTCCGACCTCAAAGTTTTCCATATATCTCTGCTTCTTCTGTCTGCAAATTCTTTCTGCATGTCTTGGCTTACAGCCGTCGCATCGCCAACGTGTCGTAGGACACTCAGTCTTGAAGACAGGAAGCCATCGACTTCATTACGGACAACGAGAGGGAGAGGAATAGCCGTTCGGCTATTCCTCTCCCACCAAGCCCTGAGCCATGGGGTGGCTCGTTAACGTAGAACGGCGTGTAGACGCATGCATTGTTCAGGGCGAACTCTACAAGTGGCAGCATGGCGCTTTAGCGCCTCAGCGTCTCAGTGCAGACGCTGCGAAGAAGGTCTTCAGCGACGCAATTCACGCGCTCAGTTTGACCATCGGTTTGCGGATGGTCCGCTGTTGACATAGTCAACCTGGTGCCCAACACCTCGAAGATCGACCAAGACTTTCCAGCTAAGCGTAGTCTCTGTCGGATACAATTGATTCCGGGAGCCTATGTTGTCTAAAGGTGCGATCCACAAACAGTATCGCTGTACCGACACCGTCGATGGTGTCCCGCATCACCGCATGTTGAGTCATCTTGCTCAAGAGGTCGACAAAGACAAAGACACCCGTGCTGCCGTTTTCTTCGGCAGGTCAAACACAAAGTCCATACTCATGGAATGTCAACACCCAGAGGTAACCGGCAGACTGGCCAGTGGCGTCGCCCCATTCGGATAGGATTCACCCCTTGACAAGTCACACGTACGCACATTTGTGCTCGTCCATTTGTACAGCTTGGGCCACCAGTAGTGGCAACTCAAGAGCTGTAGGTCTTCTCACGACCGAGATGACCACTGAGTGGGGTATCGTGGGCCTCATAGAGGATACGGTACTTCAGATCCTCATCGCGAGGAACCACAATGTGTGGCGTATCCGTCGAGTCGGTGCTATGATACAGCAATCCTTAATTTAACGAAAACCGGTGCAACCGTGCGCGCAGCCGCGACGACAACTTCTTGAGTGAGGTTCCAAACTCCTTGCTCCCGAGAGCCCGTAGCAGCGTTACGCACATATCATCACCCGTGTATGCGGCACCGATCAAATCCATCACTGACGACATCACCGTTGTGACATGAGCAAGCTCGTAATCCGGTTTGCGCAAAAACGCATCGGCCAAAGCAATTCGCTTTCCTGGCTTATACTTCACTTCGATGTTATATTCGGCGAAGAAGGAGAGTCACCTGATCATTGTCTGCAAGAAGTGAGGCAACTGGGTCGCAGTGCGCAGTGACAAATGGTCTGTGTAGATCACGAACGGCTTAAAGCCGAGCAGTTACAAATTGAACTTGACAAGTCCATACTACATCGCAAAAAAACTCCTTGTCGTGGATTGGTTACGTCTTTTCTGCAGCATTGAACTGGCGAGATTCGAAAGCGATCACCCGGTCGCGCCCATCGGCGTCTGCTTGCAGTAGTGCACAGTCGATGGCAAAGTCCGAATCGTCACAGACGAAATTGAAGGGACGATCGGAATCTGGAAACGCCAGTATTGGTTCGTGAAGGAGGCTGTCATAAACCCGTCAAAGGCCTCCCGATGCTCGGTGTCTCAACACCATTCCGCATCTTTCTTAAGGAGGTTCGACAATGGCCGTGCCATTTCTGCATAATTTACGCTATAGTTGTGCAAGTAGTTGGCGAGGCCAAGCCACTTGCGCAATTTCTTTTGGTTCCTTGGAACCGGCTCGTCTTGACTCAGCGTGATCCGCTCAAAGGTCACACTTCCCGAGGAAATACCCTCAAAATGGGATTCCTTCGGCGCCGAAGATGTACTTGTCTTCATTAGAATACAGCTCATTCGTGCGCTTGCACTCGAGCACCGCTCTTTATTGAACGATGTAGTTTTCCTCATACGTCCTCCGTGCTCCGCACGACTGTAAACGAAGATGTCGTTGAAGTATGTCTGTGCATACGTCCGGTGGTGCCTAAACAACTGCGTCACAAGACATTTTAATGTTGCTGGTGCATTGGACAGCCTTTAGGGTATCACCAGTCACTCTCAGAGCATGCCGCTTAGAGTATCCACCGCTGTTTGCAGAATATCACTCGCTCTCATTAGCAATTGGTAATACCCAACGACCAAGTTGAGTGTATTGTACTTTGTACATTTGACCATGTTGTTCTGGAAAACATTCTTCCTATGAATCGGCGTCTATACCGAAATGGTGGCAACATTTAGCTTATTGTTAGTGTGAGCGATACGCCACTTGCCGTTCGGCTCCTGGACACAAAACGTGGGCGTCAAATGTGGAGACTTGCTCTCACGCACTTTTAATTCGACAACTACCGTCCAAACCTCATAATCCTTACACTTGACAGACTTAAATGGGCATATATTTACATTGTAATCTCGGCGTTTCTGTTAACGCTCTTGTTGTCGTTCTTTATGAGATTTGTTCAAGGCAGCATTATCTAAACTTCCAACAACTGCGTCACCTTTAAACCACTTTTTCTTGTATGTTAGCTTTTATTGAAAAGCATTCGCTTCTTTGTCGTCGATATGATCAGCCTCAGACTTTAAAGCAATTTAGTCGTATTGTAAGAAAAACTGCGATGCTTCTGTGCCACGACTTTGTAATGATGCGATATCCTCTCGGACTTGTCATCACTTAATTTCTCCTCAACGGGCTGTCAACAGAAAACTTGAATTACTAGTAGCTGTTTTCCTCGCTACAGAGAAGCTTCCAGGGCATACTGGGTTTACGGGTGTGGAAGCAAAATCCACTATTGCTTAATCTGTTTGGTCAGTTGCAAGAAAGAAGCGTGATCGTTTCTGCAATGATTGGGATTTGCATAGTTCGTTGGTCAAGAATCAGCGCAAACGCGAACTTTGAGGTCCTATATCACAACTCACCTCTACTAAGCCAAAATGAATGAAAGGTACACTTGAGGCATTCAATAACAGCAGAACTGATGATATTCTTACCAGCTTTTCCGTCCACAATGAGTTGTATTTACGCTCAATAATTAAAATCTCAAACTTGAACCTTGTGACTTAAAATTTTTGTGATAAGTATTAAAATTTAAGTAATAAATCACATTGTGATCTCAAATGCCTCATGATGTACATATTCAGTTGGCTCACACCACTATTTTGCAGTTGCAAGAGCCACTTCATCAAGCTTATTCCTTCTTCTCTTTCCCGTCATCCTTTGAGGCATCAATAGCAGTTTTGACAATGGAAATCACAGTCTTCACACGCTTAAACATGACTTGTCCCGTTGACATCATAATTAGCAACATAAACACAATCAATGCCCAGTAGAGATGTGATAACGTGTGGCTCACTTGTCTACTCATCAATCAAAAGTTAAAAATCCTCATTTAACATCAAAAGCATAGATTACGTACTTGCAGTCATAAAGTGGAAGATCATAGCCAATGTGCTCATAGCACAACAGATCCTGCGAGATGCGGAACACGAGCAGAGCCAGTGCCACACATCCAGGAATTAAATAATATTCCAAGTTTTTATACGGATCTCGCTCTGCATTAATCTCAAGATATCGATGGCGTTCCTTTTCAATCAAGTCTGCAAGCTCTTGACGATAGCGCACAATTTCACTTCGGCGTCCCATACGAGCACCATCGTCAAAAACGTCCATGGCACCAAGCAAACATGCCTTATGATGATTTTCCAGCGTCTGCACAGGAACGTATTGGCAATTGGAGCCTGCTAAAGTTTCCATCTCACGTTTGTATTTGAGTAAAGCCTTGTCCCGCTGATTAACATTATTCGCTTCAGCTGTGGCTTCAAGTAACGTCTTGGCTTCTGGAAAAATCGAAGCTTCACGGAATAGACCTGCGTATGTCTTAATGTATGTATACAACTCACGCGACGTGACAGTGACACCATGAATTTTTTTTGGAAACAAATTAGCCGGATCAAAGAGATCGTCCAAGTATGCCGTAAGTAATTCCAAAAATCGATTGTCAATCGCCTCAACTGATCCATCATACTCGCGCTCTGTGACAGCATGACCAGGATGTGGTAGTAAGAAACACGAAACCTTTTCAAAACACGAGCTAATTTGTTCACGTGTATCGGCCAAATCTTTTTGTTTACGAGATGACAGCAATTCGAGCATATATTGTTCCATATCCTCTCGTTTCTCTGTCAGCGTTTGATTACGAGAGAAATCTTGCCAGTCGCGTACTAAAAAGTCCAAACGCTGAAACGGCCGTGGTCGTAACGAAACTTCATCTTCTTCTTCCTTGTTACTTTCATTGTCATTCGTTGGCTCTTCGTCCTTGTCGCTAATTGAAGACATTGTTTTCGTTAGATTGCGATCTGATAGCGACGCGGCATGTTGCAGAGCCTGCTGTTTGTCACTGAGTGACGACGAAGATGCGTCGCCAAAAAGTGCCATTCTATTTTGCATATGAATCGTATGATTAGTAGTCTCTCCAAACTTCTTCTAGTAACATTATACGCACCGTCCATATTCCGTAAAAAGCGCTAAATGTTGCAAATTATCTTCTTGTACTCTTTTGTCCACATTGTAGATCTGATACGAACTCAATAGAGTACTAAGACCAAAGATACTAGCAGTTAGCATCTGTGACGTTTCAGAATCAAACATTCCTTGTGTATCAATTAAAAACACAGCAATGTCCTCGCCTGTTTGGCTCTTGCGAATAAATGGCGCTTCCCACATCCAAATACCTGTCGTATTTCGTTTACGCCCTGCACGCCAACTAAATCCTTTTTCTCCATACGTTTGTTTCACATTAGAATTGCCCTCAAGCTTTTCTTCTCCACTTCCAGTCACGCCTTCTTTAATCCAAGCTTTCCAGACTTCTGCATTCTCATCCTGTGTACCATCAGGCTTAAGCATTCGTCCGTGGCTAGCATGACGCAAATAGCGTAAAAATAAATCCAGTATAAAGCTTTTTCCCGTGCGAAAAGCGCCTACAACTGAGAATATTGCGACTTTCATGTCTTCAGGCACTTGATGAAAGATTAAACGTAGTGCTTCTTCATCTAGTGTAAAATTTGTGCCTTCTTCATTAATACTTACAATCTGACGTGCTTTAGGGAGCTCTTTCATTGGATCTAGCGCCATAGGAGCTGGTGGAGGGAACGCAGAAGGTAGCGGAGATGGAGGGGGGGAGCTCATTTGTACTTGAAATATAAAATTCGTCCAGATTGGTCAAAATTTATCTGATGAGAAATAGTGATTAGGTGATATTGACGAACTGCAAATTTACCATATTGTAATAATTGCAATAATATTCAAACAGTCTGATTCGAGTGTATTCTCACTAGTTTTACGTGGACATAGTAGCGAGTCGACTTGTTGATCAGCAGTGTGGCATCCAAGTCAAGACTTGATATCCTTATGCGGCTCATATTGTTAGTTAAACGTTAAGTAAATTAGTTTCTCGGCCAGATACATTATCATACTTTTTAAAGTGTTAAAATTTTAAAGTATATAAATAATATATCTAAGAACTGATACTATTATAGCAACGAAATAAACCAACTATTCTACAAATTTTCGTATTTTCACATTTGAATATTTCTGTTAGTGATCCGAGCCATCTGACCACTGCCGTGCTAAGTTTTCACGAGCTTTCGTCCGGACTCCTGTACTCACAGGGTCTTCTGGTGTACGTGATAATGGAGTCATAGGATCAATTAAGATCGAGTGAGAAAGAACGTTTGTTGTCGAGTTTAAAGCTGATAATTGAGTCGAAGATGAACGGGTTGAGACACTTGAAAATCGCATCATATCACTACGACCAGCTTCCGAAAGCAAAGCATTTGTAGCTTTACTACCAGCTGAAAGTTTAAGCTCTTTATTGTCGCAAGATGGAAATAAAGTCATTTCATGTTCCCGCAGTAAAGTTTTAAATTTATTCTCTCGTGATCGCATAACATCTTGTATCCAACGAGGTACATGCGAAATTCGCTGCATTCCTGCATATGATATTGCTATAAACAAATGTTCGAGCAAAAGGATAAATAACAAACGCCAAGCAATATGCAAACAGCCAAAATCCGGTCCAAATACAAAATCGTCTAAACTCTTTCCATCTTTTTCAAGTTGATGTTTGATATCGCGTACACAAACATCATCAAAAAATTCTAACACACCTGTTGAGATACAAATCAGCAATACATTGACAATGACGGCAATATACGCATAGATAGTCAAAATGCCTTTCCATGCTCCAATACCATTCGCTCGTCGTGGAATTGGACGTTTTAATGTCTTGCACAGTCGATACCCATCCGTACGTCCTTTGACGCTATTAATTAAGAAGCAAGCAAAAGGCATCAATGGCCACAACATTGAAAACATGACAGTAAACCCAAACTGTACAGTCAATACATGGAAATCATCGTACGGATCGTATGTATCTTGCTCACTATCAAACAGAATCTCCCGTGCTTTCTTGTTCAAGACTTCGATTTCCGACGGCGTATACTCAAGATATCGTGAGCTTGATTTATTGTCAAATTGAGACTTTTTTTGATCTTCATAGTCCAAAGAGCCTAAAATCTTTAAGGACCCTGCATTACGAACACGCTCTTGTGCTAAGGCATCAGCATGTGCTTGAGCATTTTCTCGACGCTTGCGTACAAGAATTGGAGCTACTAACCTCAGCAGAATATTCAGCGATTGTGTAATCACAATAGGCGTAACAAACATTGAGCCTAAATCAACATGATGGCGATCAAATGTGAAGAACCCAACACATTCAATACACGTTGCATCTTTCTCACCCACTGGACACATAGTACACGCACCGTGTTGATCCACATAAGGACCAAAGCAGCAATTGATAGCATCTCCAAAAAACATGTGATTAAAAGTATTGGTCAAATAATTCCCAAGTCCCGGAATGACAAACACAAAGGCAAGCGAAAAGAACCACGTATAATAATTTAAAAAATCCAAGAGAAACAATTTTCGAATTAACGCTTTTTCATATTGTTCTTCTGTTCGATAGTTTTCCCAATGCGTAAAGAATGCTCCCATTTTCGTAACTACCATATTCCATTGAACAACGTCAACAAAGAATCCAAAGACACAACCTTCAAGCAAAATGAGCCACCATTGCGTCGAGAAAATATGACTTTCCTTGTATGTAGCTTTAAGTATTTCATAGATAGTCACCCAACTTGCAACGAGGATCAACATAATCAACAACTGCAAGACCATAAAGAGAAATACACAAAAGTATTTAAACATTCGTCGCCATGTTGGATACACCACCACGACGTCACCTGTCAAAGCATTTACTCGTGAGTAACCGTAAAAGTGCTTGTTACGATACTCAATCTGTTTAACATGTAACTTTCCAGTCCAATCAAATTGCATGCAAGCATTTTCGCGCTCCCAGGACTTAAGAAAGCCAAATCCCCACAAAACTGATACACCAAGTCCCCACACAGGTAGCAGCCGCATGTAGGTTGTCATTGAAATTACCCCACGCAAGAGTTCAAGTAAAATTCCAAGAGCAGCTAGTGGAATAAGCCAAGTATTGTAATATTTCAAGAACGCAAAATAATAAGCCACTTTCTCGCCAAAATTATATCGTAAAGAGCGTAAGACTTTTTTGTCGTCCAATTCATGAAGTCGCCACGATGTTACCCATCGATGGATTAATGTATTTGTGACACTTTGATTGTGCATTGGAAACAAATCATGAATCCAAACATCACTTTTTGACAATCTTGCACGCTGTTCAATAATAAAGTCGACAATTTCAATGCGTTCAGCTGGTGTCATGGGTTCATTACGGCGCTGTGCTAAATCATGCTCCATATCAACAACTGCACCATGATCCATCCACATTTGAGTTCGAAATTGCTTAACTAATGACAAAACTACAGCATCCGGTGCTCGAATGAGTAAAATCAGATACCCTGAGTGCATCTCCCCTTTCGAATCTCCTCCATCAATAATATCAACAAATAATCCTTGTGTACACAAGATATTAACTATCCGACGATGTTCATCTTCACTTGCACATAATATGGGAGATTCGGTCATACAAAGTCGTCGGAATCCTGAACGTTCATGCGTAACTTCTGTAATAGTATCTACGGATGGGACACTTGCACCAGAACAACAGCAGATACAATTTATTGTACGTCCAAGACACCTCGAAAGTTCCACTTTGCGATTTACAATAATTGCAAAATCGTAATCAGGTAACGTGCCATTTTGGATCTCGTCTGGTTTGAGGTATCGAAACTTTCCCACATCGATAGGTTCCGAAACCTCGTACTCCTCATCACTCTGTTTTGTAACCACATTATTCTTTTTGCAACGATATGTTACGTTTTCACTGCTTGAATGACTTTTAATGCTATAATTCGAATGCTCGTCAGAAGAAGACGAAGAGCTCACGAGGTGTGCGCTCGAGTCTTCACGCTCCTGCTGTGCGCTCTTGAGCGTCGAGAGACGCAGCTTTTCTCTATCAAGGCGTCGGCCTGAAATTTCAGCGGTGTGCTTCTTGACTTGAGGTTTCGTCTTGCTACGTGCTATGCGAGAGTCGGAAGCGTCGACGTTTTCTTCAGCCGTGGCCACGTTCATATTTTGTCAAGAATAGTTTGAATTGTTTGGTATAAGTTTGTGAAGGAGCATAAATAGTAATCAAGTTAGGAGGGGGAATCAAAAGACATCAGCGCTGGTCTTTAGCCTGCTGCAATTTAGAGACAAGGTATATACTAATACTGACTACGACACATGAAGGTCAAAGAGACCTGAGGATCTATTGAGACTATTAGATCTGAAATTTGTCGTTCGTCTAAAGCAAACTTCATTACTTAATCAGATTTTTCGAAACACAAAATTGAGGTCATAAGATACTTCGGTCTGAACATGGAAACAGGAAATTTCTATGTTAAATGCTTCGATACGTGCATGACTGGAGGATCCGCAAAGTAGGGCGACAATCGTGTAGTTCACGACTTCACGGTCATATCAGCTTAGAATGGTGAGTTATTCTAAGAGGAGAGCAGTCAAAGTGGCTCACCGAGTCTTGACTCATACCCTCTGCCTCTCCTTAAGCTACACAACTTTGTAGATTCGCAGTGCCCAGAGTCTCGACAAGACTTAAGCGTCTCCGACGTTTAGTGATCTACGCATCGTCCCGCGAAACGAATAGCGATAAGACTATCCGCTTTTGAGCTAGCGAGTCATGGCAACAAGCTAGACCGAGCTCAAGAGGGTCAGCTTTGCTAAACTAGAGCAACGACCTACAAATGGCAGCCAACGACTATGAATTTACCTGCTCCGACAGAAAAAGCTCTACGTGCCTTGGAGCAGCCCTTACGAATTATGTGTGTGGACTTGCAACTCTATCTAAAGGCGTAAGAATTGAGCGCTTCGAGATCACAACTCTTCTGAGAACCGCTTACGGTTGGTTAGGCTTCTACTAGGTCAATTTGTGTCCTATCATATATTAGCGACTGCACATCTCTTACTGTGGCCTGATTTTTGTGCTGGGGACTATATCGCAAAATTTGAGTGTTGAGTGGGGAGGGTTCTTTGCTTATCAATTTTGCGGCTTCGAGCTGATTTGTAATAATGACATGCTACACAAATGTCGCATGATCCATGACTATGTCAAGGCGAGCAACTACCCACTAAGTCAAGCTGTATTGAGCCATTCTTATGTCCATGATCATGCTAACGTAGCGATCGGCCAAGTCTTGAAATTGAAACAAAGCATTTATCCACTATCTAAAGGTAATCGCGTTGCACCATACGACTCAGCCGCTTGTTGATCAAGAGTGTGCCAATGATCTGCTGGAGCGGAAATCCAGACTGCCAGAAGCTCCTGGAATGACGGTATCTCCCTAGCGAGTGCACCAAGCCACACTCCATTCTACATGGGAGTGAGCCATGTCTTGCTCATCAAGTTGATTAGGCTGGGACATTCCCCGCGTATTCAGCTTCTTTGAGCTTTTGAATTTGACGATACGCATTGCTTACTGTATGAAGTCTCACCATCTCCCGTTTGGAGACCTTGGTTACTCATATGATGATATCTCGGTGACGCACTTTCGAATTGATTTGCCTAAGTTACCCCAAGCGGGTCAGAACTTGATAGCCGCTGTCGAGCAAAGGGTAGCTAGATTACAAAATTCTGTTTGTGCATTACTTTGTCTCCAGTAAAATGCTAATCTGAGTCCAAAGATCAATCTGAATTTGGCTTTGAAATAATCACATAGGGCACGGGATGTAATGCATTCCCCAAGGGCATTTGTATATCCACACAATACCTTTGTAACAACAGCCGTAAAGAATTTATAAAGCGAGGGCACATTGCATGTGAAAAGATAGGCGAATTGCTTTGTGTTTTATAAGCTAGAAAAGCGTATATGACATTGTCCGCTCTCTTTCGAAAATCCATTGGCGTGCCACGCGGTATTTGGCTGAGGAAAACAAAGGTTATTTCATGCCGAACATCCAATCTGGGAGCAACACACGTAGGCGGGTCACTGCTAGCCACAATTATAAGTTTTTATCTAAAGAACAAAGGAATCCGAGATCTGGCAGCAAACCGCTTTCTGAGCATCGCCTTTGAGCATCGTAACACCTCTGTTTACTATAAACTTTGCTGAAACTTCGGCAACAACAAATTAATATTTTGTCTTTTGAAACGCATAGCGAGCTACATGAGACAATGACTTTAGGCAGGCAATAATGTTGCAAAAAACATTGACTATTTTTCTTACCTCGATGAACACTGGAGCAAGACGTACCGTCTTATCTAATAGGTATACAGATATTAGTGTATCGCGCGTCCCTTTAGATTTTGCGTTGAGGCAGACGCACTGCTGCTAGTGTTATCGTCTGACATATCTCATGTGCCTGTACATATAAATACTAGCCCAGTTTGGTAGCTCATGTCTTCGTTAGCCGTGACAAGATCAGAGACTGACGGCCAAAGGACTAAATTCGATGCCTGAGTTTATAATCAGGTGTCATCTGTTATTTAAGAACGCCTAGACAAGGAAAAAAATCACCCACTCTCAGACCGCACATGTTGAACGTCCAGCCCTTGAGTGGCAAAAAATCTCTCCCACTTAGAGAAATTTGAGTGGCCATGAAATCAGAATTGCTGAAACGGATCAAGAGCGCGTCGCGCTTACGGTCTCCAAGCTTCGCAATATGGATTGATCTAAAGCGACATATGTCGCTAATGTTCGCTTCGCATAAGGGGCGCATGCGCATGAGGTGCGTTCGAAGCTCTTCTCTCTCCGTCACGGAGGCGATAACTGGCAAACTAATCTTTACATATTTAATGAGCTTCTATCACCGCAAGGGCTTCAAGCCCTTTACCGGAGGCTGAAAGTTTTACTATATTTCTGTAAGAGCTCCGCACAGGCGCGTCTCGCTCCAAGACCTCACACGTCCACCTACCTCTCTCGATGTAGCCGTGTTCGTTGCATTTGTGGGGATATTCAGCTTCCTTGCCGCGCGGGAGATGGGAATGTAAGATCAACGAGCGCGCCAAAGAGATGATTGTCAGCCATGCTAGAGCGTAAATTTTTTTGGCCTACTGATCAACTCCGCGGTACCTGCAAATGGTTCTCTAGGGCAGTTGCACCTTGCATGCCCCCTACGCTCTCAGTTGAGACTCAGAAAAGATCAAGAACCCGCTATGACAAACCTCAAACAGCCCAGAATTGTTCGTCGCTGCTAACAATCTCCCGGGTTTGTGGATTTTAGGATAAATTCAAGGGCGGTGCGCCATTGCGTACGACACCGACTGTTGAAAGCAACGTGGTTATTGAATTCGCAAAATGGATATGATATCCGTGCATCTTGCGGCGGGGAGATATGTTCAAATGCAAAGGTTCTTATAAATCTACAAGTAATGTTTGAGTTTATAGCATGAATTGTTGTCTGTTCCTGTATTGTAAACTCGAGATAGAATCCAGTTTGGGTTTGGCGTGGCTGGAACACCACGAGCCATGGGTCCACAGAAATATGTTAGTTATCGCGCATATCTTCTTTATAGAGCGTTGCAAAGCTACGAAAACAACTTTACCAGATACAGAAGCGCTGATGGCGCGGGCACGAAGCTGCGATAACTTCCGTGTAGGGCATGGGACTGACAGCATAACGATAGCAAATGCATCACTATGTGCCTCGAGCCGAGTTCGAAAATGGTCTCATGTCGAAGACGGAGAAGGGCGGTTTGTGCATAGCGGTCTTCTGAGTGTATCGCTGCTGAGGAGGGGTAGGACGGTTGTATGTTGTGGTGCATCGCCGGCAAGATGGAAAGGAACAGCTTTAGGCTGTTGTCTTCTATGCCAGGGCCGGTGGAAAATGGGAGCGACTGGGTCTCACAATCGCCAGTTTAAGTCCGGTGGAGTTGATGGAGAATTGCAAGTCGCAGGTAAGATTCAAATACTGAGGTTTTTGAGACTGACCCATCCTTGTGACGATATAGCGGTACTGTTGAGTCAGCACGACTGTGTGATGGACCTACCTTGCGGAGCAGTGAAATCTAGGGGTAAGCAGCAAGAAAACGCTTCTTTTGCTCGTATTAAAAGTGACTGAAGTGATTGCCAGTATCCCTTCACTACCTTCGACAAAAGCTCTTATGAAGCTAAAAAGTTTATTTTAAGGATATGCGCAAACCCTGCATAACAATGAGGTCACCTCAATGGCACATTTGGTACCAGGTGAGAAGCTGAGCTCGACTCGATATGATATAGCTCGTTGATAGATGGCTGAACATCAGCGTAAGTTTCACGGCGTAGTGCCGAAACAACCCCCATCAAAGGGCCGAAACTCGCGCAGCGGAAAGGCTGATCGAAGTAAGCGACTTCCCAAGAAATGGCTAAATCATGTAGCAACAGGTGAGACTAGTCGGAACTCGGAGAGTCACAGACTCGGTCTCATTAAAGAACATCAGGCGCAGTGATTGCCCGGAAGGACGTAATTTTTGCAAAGTGTCGTACAAACAACATACATGTGAGCCCTGAGGTGGTTCAATCTCAGTGGGAGAGGCTCTAACGGAGCAAGAGATTTAATCCTGTGTACTTTACCCTTACATACTCGGTAAAATATAGTAATACAACAGGATCCAGTTGCACGAGATACGCCATTCACATTTCACTTGGCGCAATGCTGATTATTCTTTTAAGTACCAGAATATTGGAGCTCCGAAAAAGAGGGATCCATAGTTCACGTGGGCTTTCCGTCGCGCGTTAAAAAACAACTTTATACCGAGAGATAGTAATACGTATCGACTAGATAAAATCAATCGTCATTAAAGTAAGCTTGGAATAGCAGAGCGAACAGTCAGTGTTGCTTTAGAGACAAATGTTATGCTGTTGGTAGTAGCGCATGAACCCAACCTTTGTTTGTTAGCTAACGCGAGGTTTGAGAGCTAGCTCCTGCAAAGGACACAGCAATCTCGTTGCTTTTGTCATTTAAGGTGGGATATGTCAAGATGGACAATTTCGCCTCGATACATCAATATCAGAAAGATTTGATATTTTCTTCCACGTTGGAGTGACTAGTGCTTCTACCAAGTTTACATAGCATCCTACTTGAGAAGGCGTCGAACGTCATACAAATCCCCAGTAAATAATCGTTTACGATCCTGGCCTTAAAGGGACTTGTACTTCAGATGATAGATTTACATTACTTGGCTACGTGGTGTTCTATACACCGGTACCCCTTCAGCGTACTATAACTGTGTATTTTACAAAAACATTTGATTTGTATACTCATAATAAAGTACTATATCGTTTCTTGTCATCCATTAATACTGGGAACCGACGCATATTAATGCATTTGTGCTCCTTCGGAAGAATCCGCAGACAATGGAGCGCTCTACAGGATCGAAATGGATAAAAGTTGATAATCACGACCGTTCGTTAAGCCCCGTGAATGGTGATGAAAGTTCAAAGACGCAACAAGATGACGAGCAGCTTCTAGGGAATAATGAAGAAGATTCCTTGGGTCAAGCGACTCCAACTCCACTATTACTTCGATCACCCGTTGCTGCTTGGGCTGTCACTGGACTTGGATTGTTATTTCTACTCGTCGTCATCCTCGTGGTACGCGGTGGCATTATGCAAAATCATCAACGCATTCAAGTCGCTACTTTAAACAAAACTGAGTGGTTTGAAATGCTTCCAGAAGATATCGTGGTCCACATGAATCTCGACGTCGATCCATGTGTAGATTTCTACGAATTTAGCTGTGGATCATGGCTGAATCAAATGAAGATTCCGGAGGATAAATCAAGTTACTCACTCGCATTTACCACAGTACATGATGAAAACCAAGAAATTTTAAAGCAGCTTATGTCACATGGATGGCCACTTGTTGGTGAATTATATGATTCTTGTATGAATTACAGCAACATAAGCACCGCAGCAGCAGACGAGACCTCGTTTCAAATTCTCATGCCAAATTTACAGCTGATTGCAGCGACAAAAACGAAGAAACAGCTGTTTCAACTTGCTGGAAATTTGTCGATAACTGGACCAAGTTTCTTAACGGGTCTTAGTGTCTCGGCAGATGCAAAAGAAGCGACAGTTTATGCACTTTATGCTTCACAAATGGGTCTAACATTACCCGATCCAGAGTATTATCTCGACACGAAGAAATTTGCAACAGTTGAGGATGCATTTCATGGATATATTACAAAACTCTTTCGTCTTGTGGGAGTAGAAGCCGATGCTGCAGCTGCTCAAGCGATTGCTGTCATAACCTTTCAGCAACAACTTGCACCACTTTATGTACCCAAAGAGAAGCTTCAGGATCCTGTAGCAACGTATAATCGCATGAGCATTGCAAAGGCTGCTGACATGTATCCATTTTTATTTGCCGACTTTCTTAATGGAACAGGTTTACTCACGAACTTTTTAGCGAATCATATGGATGTAATTGTCGAAACACCTGCTTTCTTTGAACGTGCGGAAACATTGGTTACAAATGAAACAGTGACACTAGAGACATTAAAGGCATTGTTACAATATCAGTACATTAGTTCACATGCAATGGCCCTCAGTGCATCTTATGTCAGTACCAATTTTGATTTTTTTTCCAAGACATTACGTGGTCAAACGAAACTTCCCGATCGATGGAAACTTTGTCTTCAATTTGTCACAAGTAGTTTTCCTGAACTTGTGGGCAAGTATTATACACTTTTACGTTTCGACAATACAAGTGAAGATCTTGCAAAAGATCTGGTCACTCAAGTTCAAACGACATTACATGAAACTTTCGGACAACTTGACTGGTTAGATGAACATACTCGACAAGCTGCAATGTTCAAACTTACCAAAATGACAAATCTCATTGGCCATTCAACACACAAGAAACATTTTCCATTTGAACTTCATGCGAATGCATCACTTTTAACAAATTTACAAATTCTTAGCAAGTATCAATTTGATGAAGCTGTTGCAAAACTTGGTACTAAAGTCGATCGTACAAAATGGTCAATCACAAGTGCTACAGCGAATGCATTTTATCAACCAACATCAAATCAAATTGTTTTTCCAGCTGGTATCTTACAAATTCCATTCTTTTCGCAACATTATCATTTGGCACGAAATTATGGAGCTATTGGAAGTATCATTGGACATGAATTAACACATGGATTTGATGCACAAGGACGATATTTTGATGGTGATGGAAATCTTTATGATTGGTGGAGTAATGCGACAGCACGAGAATTTCAAACACGTACAGATTGTCTTGTAGCACAATATACAAATTATACAGTTTATAGTGAATTTGAAAAGGAGAAATTCTTGGATCATGTGAATGGAAAGTATACGTTAAGTGAAAATATTGCTGATAATGGTGGTGTCAAGTTAGCATTTGCAGCATATCATCGTTTAAATGAAAGTGAAAAGAAACTTAAAACGAATGATGAAATGTCAAGGATTGTAGCAGATCGACTTTTTTTTCTTTCATTTGCTCAAACATTTTGTGATAAATCACGAGATGCTAGTATGATGCAACGTTTAACATCCGATCCCCATCCACCAGGACGATATCGTGTTAATGGTGTTGTCAGTAATTCATACGACTTTGCTCAAGTTTATTCGTGTTCGAAAGATTCGCCAATGAATCCAACAACAAAGTGTCAATTATGGTAGATTGAAAGATATTGTTCAATGATATGAAAAGATTAATGAAAACAAGTATATTGAAGATATACAATGAAATGAAATTCCACAAGCTAAACAGGAAGAAATTCAAGTTGATTTGAAAGCAATTGTTCCTTTTCATCGAAACTTTCCATCTCATTGGAATCACTTAAACCAAGACAACGTTCACTGACATTACGTACAATCCCACGATCATACGAAAGTGATTCAGTACCTCGTTGAATGCGATAACGTGATGCATTAAGCACTTCGTTTGTTGTACGATTTCGAATCAAGAGATAAATGTGAAAACATGATAATTCCAACACTGGTAATAGCACTAGAAAGAGATAAATCATGGCAATGATAGTGTAGAATCGTACAGTATGATGATATCGCCATAGCAAGTAAAGAATGTATTCCATTCCAATCAAATCAAGTGCTAAAGCCAAGAGAAAAAGTAGAAATGCTGCATAGTTATCACGTCCAATACAATTGTCTACAAAAGGACAACTTTTGACACAATATGTAAGGTTACAATTTAAAAAAATAGAAATGAAAATGTGTACCGTACTGATGGTCAAAAACTGGTACACATGTTTTGCATATTCGACAATGCTTTGAACGTGGTGGACGTTGGATATGACATGTATGACATAATGGACGTTCGAGACATTTTCGTTGAGCATATAAACTTGCACTCTCTTCTTTCATTTCATCGTCGTCATGGGTACCAAGAAGTGCGTCGAGAATATTTTCATATTCAACATGATACTTGCGATTATCTTTTGGTACACTCCCTGGTTTCGTTGCAACAATTCGATAGAAAAAGTACCAGGTTACGATATTCCATGCAAAATGTGGTACCATCACATTACGTCGATCAGGCATCATTGGAAAAATGATAACCAGATAGATAAAGGTTACGAGAATTGCATTGCACACGGTAAAATGGTACGGCGCTCGACTCTCGGATTTGCACCACCATGTAAATGCTGCAAAATGCCATGCTGTTTCACGAATTTCCCGTTGTTTTAAGTACCGGACAACGTGTTGATAAAGTTTTAATTGTGCTAATTCTCGTGGGGTGCGCTGTTTTGAGTCCAATGCATGAATATCTGCGTCTAAAGTCTCGATAAGATACTGGACCGTCTCTAATTCTCCTCGCATTGCAGCGAGATGCAATGGAGTCTGTCCATATTTATCTGGTGCATTGGAATTTACTTGTAAGTACTGAAAAACTGCGATTATCTCAGTAGCTCCTTTGTACGCTGCCCAGTGGACTGCTGTATCGCCATCCACATCCACTAGTGTGACGTCCGCTCCATTTCGTACACAAAAGAGTACCAATAATGGATGGCCATGTTGAGCCGCTACTAATAGAGGAGAGCGGTGTTTCTTGGCGTCACAAGTATTCACGTCCACTTTGAGCTTAAGGACAAGTGTTCGTAGCGCACTTAAGTTACCTGCGGCACACGCCCAATGAATTGGGTGTAATTGTACCTTATCATCGTTACTAGGAGCATCAATAGGTTCTCCAATCGAATGTAAATAGGTGAGAAATTCACCACTAGCTTTTTGTGCTGCCCAATGGGCAAGCGTATGGCCTTGTGGGTCTCGTTGTTCACGTGCCAATTCATCACCGTATTTTGCCACAAGCTGCACAAACTGTGCTAAATCATTGCGTTTTGTACATGCAAATAGTTCCTCTACTGGAGTCAAAGGAACTTGTTCTTCGGGGGGCGTCTCGCCATGAGAATGTTGACACGTAGGGTGGTGTCCATGACTATGACCATGATGTGTAGCGTGAGTCGAATTTTGGGGGACGGACACATCTGTGGACGTAGAAGATGATGGAGATGAATGTGCAGCCGAGGAAGAGTCGAGTACCGGAGTACGAGGTGACTGTAGTAGCGACGCCAACTCTATTACCACCTCGTCCCCCATTTTGAGCGGATAATATGCGAATTTTGTAGATAGTCGGACAATAATTATTGTAGTTATTGCGATTTTAGCTTACCGGTAATACTGCAAACCAAATTATATTGGACCATAGCAAATGACATTGTGATCTTAGCCTGAATCTCTAAATCACACCAACCTCATTTTTCAACTTGTCGACAAGTTCATCTACACTAGTCACTTTAATCCCAGCTTTACGTGAAGCAGGTTCCTTGACTTCCACAATTTCGATGCGTGGGGTGAGATCTACACCAAAGCTCTCAGCATCAAGAATCTCAATCTTTTTCTTCTTGGCTTTCATAATGTTTGGAAGTGTAGCATAGCGTGGTTCATTCAAACGCAAATCAGCAGTCACCACAGCAGGTAGACAAAGTTTAAGCGTCTCGATACCAGCATCAGTCTCACGAGTGACGTGAGCACTTTCACCTTCAATCGCAACTTTTGAGGCAAATGTACCTTGACTCCAATCCAGCAGACCAGCAAGTAATGGACCTGTCTGAGCAGCATCAGCATCAATACTTTGCTTACCACAAATCACAAGTTTCGGATCCTCTTTGATCACAATCTCTTTCAGAAGCTTCGCTACAGCCAGTGGCTGCAATTCCTGGTCCGTGCGCATGTCCGTAGAGATATGAATGCCACGGTCTGCACCCATAGCAAGAGCCGTACGCAACGTCTCTTGACTCTGTTTAGGGCCAATAGATACAGCTACGACTTCAGTCGCTACCTTTTTCTCCTTCAGACGAATAGCCTCCTCAACAGCGATCTCACAAAAGGGATTCATACTCATTTTTACATTCTTAAGATCAACTCCTGAAGGCTCAACGCGAATTTTAACGGCATAATCCACTACGCGCTTCACAGGAACTAGAACCTTCATAACTGCAACCAAAGTGGGAAGATCCAATGATGAACTGCATATTTTATCACATTAAGGGTTTTGATGTAAACCACACTATACTCGAATTCCTTATTTAGTACTTTGTACTTTGTCCACTAATATGCTATGCCGTACACTGAGCCGCGTCTCACGTGGCGTTTCTTCTCCTCTGATCACTCGGCGGTTCTCTCTTGTCGACGAAATCTCGAATAGTCAATTTATTGAGGATGAATATAGTGACAATGTCCATTCAACGTGTGTATCGGGTGTGTACCAGCTGCCTGGAACGCTAGAATTGGAAAATGGCGCCATTCTTGAAGCTCCAGCAGTGGCTTATACTACATATGGCAAGCTTAATACTACGCGGGATAATGTTCTTGTACTGTGTCATGCTCTTACGGGTCATTCGCTAGTGCATCAATACTGGAATGCTATGGTCACTCCATTGTGGACAGAGAAGTATTATATCGTCTGTAGTAATGTCTTAGGCTCGTGTTACGGTAGTACAGGTCCCACATCAATCAATCCACTTACAAGACGTACGTATGGCCCGGACTTTCCAGCTGTGACATTGCGCGACGCCATTGCGTTGCAGCGACGATTATTAGAGGATGGTCTAGGTGTGCGTCAAGTTCAGGCTGTGATTGGTGGTTCGTTAGGTGGTATGCAAACACTGGAATGGGCATTTCAAGGATCAGATTATGTAAAAAGTTTTGTTGCTATTGCATGTGGAGCGCAGCATTCGGCGTGGCAGATTGGCATTAGTGAATTGCAGCGGCAAGCTATTTATATGGATCCTAATTTTTGTCATGGTCACTATAGTTCAAACAGTCCTCCTAATGCTGGTATTGCGCTAGCTCGCCAGATTGCCATGGTTAGCTACCGTTCTCATACCGCTTATGTCAATAAATTTGGTCGTTGCCAGGAAGAACCAATTCTTAGTGACAAGTTGACCACGAAGTACGGAAGATTTGTGGTACAGTCGTATCTCAAGTATCAGGGTGAGAAGTTTTTGTCTCGCTTTGACGTCAACTCGTACCTGACTTTACTTCATATGATGGACACACATGACATTGGACGTGGTCGTGGTGGTGTCGATCAGGCGCTAAGCACATTGTCCCAACCATCGCTGGTCATTGGCGTTGACTCGGATGTACTGTATCCTTTATCTGAGCAGCAGGAAATTGCTGACGGATTGGTCAATTCGAAGCTCAAGGTCCTTTCGTCACCTCACGGTCACGACAGCTTTTTGCTTGGCCAGAAGGAAATAAGTGAGCTAACAAGAAAGTTTTTGATTGAAAATGTGGAGTGAAGCGAGATAAAAGAAGGTCAGTGGTTGCCCACCCCACCCCCACAGAGCGGGTGGTTGGTCGGTATTTAAAAGTTCTTGAGATCATCAGTAGAGTTTCTGCTTTATGCGATGAGAACTGAATAATTCAGTGACTAGCAGGTAGAAACTTCAGATCATCTCAGTTGGCCAACTAAAATAAAATCTGGAATTGTAACCAAGAAAATGGATATGAATGATTTTCTTTTAAGTTTAGACAAACTTTATTGTTAATATTTCTTCCATTCCTTATATTTCTGTATTCGGTTTAGAAATTACTAAGAACAACTCAAGTGCAACGGGCCGTACACGTTGCACAGATGGACTTAGACATTTCCAGAAAGCTGAAACCAAGCGTCTGATATACTTTAGGTTAGAGCGAGCCAACCATAAATACGTTCTATTAATTAAAATAATGACACATAGCATCTTAGCATTGTTTCAATTTTGCGACTTGGCCGGTAGTTAAAGCAGCAGACTCGTGGGGAGACGCTGACTATTGACAGCACGAATTGGAAAGGAAGTCTAGTGCTCATTTCTAAGTCGTCATCGTGCTTTGTACTTCGCGAAGGTTCTTGTCTGATGTCGGTTTCATTCAAGTTTGCTTAGAAGGCCGCAAAATTGGCAACGAACACGCTGACGCTCAAATTAAGTCATGTTCTCATCGGTGCTGACGCCAGAGTATTAAGAACATGTGTACAGCAGGCACTGATTCTTTCCAAGTGCTGGTACTTATAACGAGATACGTACCGCTTTTTGTTATGCGTACATAATCAGTCAGTTGATGTGTAGCCAAGCTAGAAAACCAAATAAAACTATGATGGGGGCACCCCAGAAGGGAGAAATCCATGGAATGCGTTGACTGTTAGCCTCACGCTATGCAGCGCAGTGTCCAACTACTGTAGACCGTAAATTAAAGGAGTTAGCCTAATTAAGCTTTCTGTATTGGTCACTCGTGTAGAGTGACCTTTTAAACCACTCCCGATTCCGCTTCTGAATGAAGCGTACAAAATTATCTTTTGCACGATACTCAGTCAAAAAAGAGAGAAGAGAAGAGAAGAGAAGAGAAGAGAAGAGAAGAGAAGAGAAGAGAAGAGA